TTAGAACACAACTCTGATGATGAAACGATTTCTGATACAAATAATGAGTAAGTTTAGTGTTATTGTTCATCATGGAAGTGAGTTTGTTAGAGCGGATACAATGTTTTATAGGGGTGAGTTCGAGTGCATGTGTATGATCTAGATAGAGAAAAATTGGATGTCTTTGACGTGTCGAAACTGATACTTGATTGAGGCTACAAAAGAAATGAGTTTAGGGTTTGGAGAAAACTCAAAGGTATAAATGAATGTTATTTTGAAGTTAACAGGGATGATCGTCCTTTGAATGTTGCTAGTGTTTTTATTGGTGAGAACAAAACAAGGTCATTTATAGCTGAACATAATGTGAAGGACATCCAAGTCAAGGTTGTTGAGCCTTAATGCATTGAAATGAGTGCAGGAATTGAATCAAGTGATGAATAAAATGATGATGAAGCAATGAAGGTTATGTTTGATGATATAAAGGATGAAAGAACCAGTGCAATGGATGATGGTTTTGAAGTATTTGAAATGGACAAGCCCAAAGTTGGTGCAAATAGATATAAAGCCAATGGGAATTCATACATGTTTAAGATGTGTGCCTCCAAGTCACCCATAAATAAATCTCATGTAAAGAAGGGTAAGGTTATTGCTGTTGCACCTGCAAGGATAGCTAAAGAAGTTAAACTAAAGGATTTTGAAATAAGGGATAAGGAAAGAAGGGATAAGTACGAAGAAAAATATTTGAGTGATGAGTTGGGTAGCTCATATTTAGATGCATTTGAAGATAAAAAACTTCCGAAGTATGAAAAGTTTATGAAGGAGCAACTAGGTAAGGACTGTGAGTTTAAGCTGGGAATGTAATTTAATTCCTTGAGTGATTTCAAGGATGCTACAATTGAGTGGTCAGTTTTGAATGAAAGGGAAATTACATTTGTGAAGAATGAAAGAGACAAAATGAAGGTAGAATGCAAGGGGAAATGTAGGTTTTTTGGTTTATGCTCTAAAGTACGTTGCAATATGACTTTTCAAATAAAAACATGGGTGGGAACCCACACTTGTGCTAGAACTTTAAACAATACTAGTGCAAAGTCCAAGTGGACTACAAAGGAGGTTGTAAACAAGATGCAGACAAGTCAGGAGAGTGGATTGCTGATATAATTCAAGACATGAGAAAGAATTACTCAGTTGGGATTACACCAAGTAAGGAATGAAAGGCCAAGGAGATATAAAAAGTAATAGTCAAAGGAGATGCAAATATACAATATGAAATGGTTTAGAGTTATGAAGTTGAATTAAGAAGAGTATGTGTTAGGAATATAGTTATGATTAATGTAGACAGATCCAATCCATCTATTCAACAAAGAGTTGGGTATTTCTACTTCTACTTTGATGGCTGTAAAAGAGGTTTTATCAAGGGGTGTATACCCTTTTGTCATACCCCAAATTTGCCCCACCTATATAGTATTACACTCATTTATGTGCATATGACTATTTCACTAGTTACTTTCCAAGTTCTCACTAAGGTCACCTTTGTTCTTGCATGTGGCCTCTGTACATTAGGGTTTGCTTTATTCTCGGTGCATCATATCCATTATTCATGTCATCTAACCATTATACATCCACAAATACATAATTTGGTGCAGGTGTTGCTCTTTGTGTGCATTAGGATTAAGATGCCCATAATCTTAGTCCAATGAGATTCACAAGGTCCTTATCTCTCAAGACCAATTCATTTTGGTTCATGGTGGGTCAATTCTATCAAGAAAGGGGTTCCAAATTTTGCAAGAGACAAAATATGCACAAATCATCAATTCATGGTTTAAGATCTTATTTCAAGATTGATCCAAGTTTGCTTCACATGGAACTAAGCCACATCCCATTTATTTTTGGATTTTTGGTTGTAAGGAGAATCCAATCTTATGCAAAATAGGGATCAAGGATGTTTTATGGATTCAAGGAATGACTATAGTTCTACATAAAGCAATCATTGTTCAAATTCAAATGCAAGTAAAGAAGATGTGTGTTTATGTGTACACAAACAAGCAATATCCATGAACATGAGCCAAGTACTTTGTTTAATAGTTGAATTAAAAAGTTTGAGGCTTAGTAACAAAACTATGGGAGCCAAGTCCATCAATACTTGTTATCCATATGTTATTCTCTCAAGTTATAAGGGTGCAAATCAAGTTGTTATGGCTTAAAATTTCAAGACATGTTACAATAACAAGTTTCAAGAGTTCTATGGATTAAATTCCAAAGTACATTGTCAATACAGAAGAAGAATTGACTCGGTACAAATTCTAAAGTTACAAATTTCACTTGATATAAATGAAATTTAAAAGTCATTCAAAACATATACAAGTTACAAAAGTGTTGATTACAAGGAAAACTCCATGCGGTTCAATTTTCTTTTGACACTTGAGTTCAAATTTTACAAATCATTTCTAAACCTAGGTGAAGTCTTAAGCCTAATAAATTGCAAATCAAGAAAATCAAGTTTGTGCCTCATGTGCCTTGAATCAATATTACATCCTCCAAAGCTCCATGCTAGCCACAGTTTCTCCTTCTTCCTCAAAATCTCTTCATGCCAAGATCATTATAATCAAACACATGAAAAAAGAGAAAATGTGAAAATTGGTGTTTGTACATCAAACAAGCAGGCTCATGGAAATGTTCATCATACAACATAAATGCTTTGTTAATACATATACCACAAATAAGAAGGACAATGTGCAACATCCCTTGCACGCACAACATATCGCGAGTAAAGTAAAATCACAACTTGGGACCTTTCTAATACACATCAATAACAGTCATAATAAACATACATTTAGCATAAATAATTCAAAATGGAATTCTTGTGCATATAAGACAAACACGCATCTTACAAAGTTGATACTATCACATGTCAAAACAAAATTAGTAGCAACATATTGGGGACCACAAGGAAAGAATTAGAAAACAAATAGTACAAACACTAAGAGAATGTTTTCAACCAAGAAAAAAATTATTCCACAAAAAGAATCTCGCAATTTCAGGGTTGCACCGCACCACTCATAACAAACTTAGAACTCACCTCTATCCTAACCAAATCAAAATCAATCATAACCTTGATCCTAACCTAAAGGAATATTAATAAAAACATAATAATGAATTTAATTATGGGATATTAATTTAAAAATAAGACATTAGGGTTAATTCACGGGACAATTTTGGGATAATCTCAGGATAGTATGGGATAAACTTTATGATATTTTTTTATGGTTTCAAATAAGGGATATAATATTGGGTTAATTAAACATTTTTAATATTCAATATGTAGTATCATTATTAATTTTTTTAAATAAATAAATTATTATATTTTTGCAAATAACCAAGGGATAAAATCAATCTAACACACTTCAAATCATAAGTTCTCAGTCTCTGTGCATTGAGGCATTTTTCAAAATCGAACACTTCTCCGCATCCGATGTTGAGAATTGTTCAAGAGATAAAAACAACAAACACACCAATATTTTTCAGTAAGAACTACGGTGCTCTGATTCTTCAATGAACTTGAAGGTATGTAGACATAAAATTTTAAGACTGTAATAATAATTTTTTTTTTGAATATTCCCTTATTAAATCAGTTTTCTCAACAATAAAACAGTTTTGTAAATAAATAAACAATTAAATAATGAATAAATAATAAGTAAACATAGATCAAGAACACACTAACTCTAGAATTAAAAAAGAATCTCATTGAATACAATGAAGGTGAGGAGTGTCTAATCTTCCTCTCACTTAACCGATTCGCAAACCTAGTGTTTCACCCTTAATTATTAGATTTTATCATTGTTTTTCTGTTTCTTAAAAACGAACGAAGAATGATGACGACTCTGTTGTTTTGTCGACTGTGACAATAAAAAATATAGAAAAAATTTAAATAAAAAGGTTTTTTAATAATGCATTAATAATTGAGTAATGTAGTAAGTTAAAAAATAATAATTTGTTCTATTATTTCAGAAAATTTTAATTAATTAATAACTAAAAAATAATTGAGTTGATGAAGTTAGCGGGAAAGTTATATAAATGACTAATTAATAAAATAAAATTTAATTAGAAGAGAATTAATAAGAAGACAACAGCGTATTATATTATTTTAATTTTTTTTAATTAATTAATTAATAACTAAAGAATATTTGAAAACTAATTGGAGTTAATGGAGTCAATGGGTGAATTATACAAAGAACAAAATAGAATAAGAAAATAATTTATCCAATTTATTAGGAATTTTTATTTAATTTATTATTAATAAATATTAATTAACCAATGAATGATTTATAAGAAAAAGATTTTTTAGTGGAGTAAATAAATATAACAAATTAATAAAAAGGAAAAATATTAAATTAATAAAACAAATATTTTTTTGACAAAAAATTAGTGAAATAATAATTATTTAATAAATAAATAGAATAAATATATCAAATTACATAATTGATCTATGTTTTAGTGTTAAAATTTTTTAAAAACTTTTATATATAAGATTATCTTTAATATAAATATTTTATTGTAATTTTTCAATTAATATTTTAAGCATTTATTAACAAAATCCATCCATCTGACACAAGAGTTGTATGAGTGACTGAAAACTACGCACCCATTATACCTTTTCAGTTGTGACATGACATTCCCCATAAATTTAGAAAATAATAATAATAATAATAAAAATAATAAAATGTTACTATTGTTCATTCTTTGCTTTTAATTTTTCCAGAAAATTCAAAGCACTTTTCTATCCTACAACTGAAACCAGCTTCAATTTCCCCTCTAAACATCACAACAACAATTTCTCTGCTCCACTATCATTCATTCAATCACAAAATCTTCAGGTAATGCTTTCCAATTTTGTTCAAACATTCGCGTTTTCTCATTTCTATATACCTTTGATTTCTCGTTAATTTTCCTCTCTCGAAATTCTAGGGTTCTTCTTTTGATTTACCTAATTTCATTCCCCGGAATAATTATTTTATTATTGTAGAATGAGTAGACCGATAACCCGGAGCAAAAATAAAAGAATAAAACAGGATGATGATGGTGTTTGTGCTAGTGAAATATGGAGGTATTTTCAGTTTTTTTTTTGTAGTATGTGAATTGAAATGTAGTTTTATTACTTGCTTTTTTGGATTGGTATATGTTAAATATGTTATATGTAATATTCAATTTGTGTAGGAAAATTCACGAAACCGGTGTGATCACCGGGGAGGATGTTAATCAATTGTATATGATTTGGAAACCGGTTTGTTCAGGCTGCCGTGTTAATACGAAAGATAACCCGAATTGCTTTTGTGCATTGGTTCCGCCTTTAAATGGAGCTAGGAAGTCTGGCTTATGGGAGAAGGTGTCGGATTTTGTTGAAAGTCTTGGTCCTGATCCGAACAAGGATCTTCGTGCTTCTGATGATTCTCCTGCAGGTTTAACGAATCTCGGGGCGACGTGTTATGCTAATGGAATACTACAATGCTTGTATATGAATAAATTGTTTCGAGAAGGGATATTTTCTGTGGAGCCGGATGTTTTAAGGCAGCAACCAGTGCTGGATCAACTAGCGAGACTTTTTTCGCAGTTGCAAGGTAGTAAATTGGCTTTTGTAGATTCTTCTCCTTTTGTGAAAACACTGGAGTTAGATAATGGAGTTCAGCAGGATAGCCATGAGTTCTTGACATTGCTTCTGTCGTTGCTTGAGCGTTGTCTCAGTCATTCCAAAGTTCCAAAGGCAAGAACAATTGTTCAAGATCTTTTCCGTGGAAGTGTGTCTCATGTGACAACGTATGAAACATTGAACCTGAGCAACTTTTTAGCTTATAAACAAACATTTTCTCCATATAATATTTGTAGTTTTTATAGCCTGTTATAGAATTTCAAAATATCCTAAGTTTCTTATTTTATATTTGACCCCTCTTACTATTACTACTACCTGCAAGAAATATTCAAAAACAGGCCTAAAGAACAAACACCAATAATGCAGAGTTTTTGATCCATTATATGGTTGTTTGGTTACTGTTGTCAGATATTCCCACATAATTTGCATTGAGTATATTTTCTCAGAAGGAGTATTTTTCATATTGCCAACATTGATTTTGATTATATTTTGTAATAATAAGGATGTTAAATGCTTCAATTCTTTGCTGAGTACTGTTTATTTTCGAAATATAATTCATGGAACTAGACATTTTAACTGGTCAGAATTCAAAAGAAACTGTGGTAATTTATGTCAATATGATCTAAATTATCTTTCTATTGTACAATCTACTTTCATATTAGATGTATGTGTGACCAGCAGTATCTATGTATATGACTAATACACATCTCTTCTAACTATACGATGTATTATGCAGGTGCTCGCAATGTGGAAGAGACTCTGAAGCTTCTTCCAAAACGGAAGATTTCTATGAATTGGAGTTGAATATCAAGGGATTGAAAAGTTTAGATGAGAGCTTGGATGATTACCTAACTGTTGAAGAGCTTCATGGAGACAATCAATATTTTTGTGAGTCATGCAACACAAGAGTTGATGCTACTCGCAGCATCAAGCTGTGTACCCTACCTGATGTACTTAATTTTCAACTTAAACGTTGTGTCTTTCTTCCAAAGGTATTATGATTGACTTCATAATTAATTTCCATATTTTGTTATAATTATAATGGGCAGGGTACTACTAACTGGCATACTTTTTGTTGTTGTTTACTTTGTTCTATTTTAGTGTCTGTTGTATTGTATGGACATATAAGAGACATACTCATCATAAGAAAGAAAGGAATAAGTATTAGATGAAAAGTAACGTGACATTCACTATCACCATATATATTATATGAAGAAAAAATTAGATGGATTGGAAAATTGCCTTTCTATTGATTATCTTCACTTCACAAGTGCGCTTCAAATATCACTAGAATGGTCTAATGGAACACCATTCACACATTAAATCCCTATGTAATTATTTGTCCCACATTGGATGAGATATGACTTAAGACTCTGTTTTTATAAGTGGTTGGTGGTCCTCATATCACAAACCGAATTTGTGAGGTTGAGTTAGACCAACCCAAATTCTAAAAACGAGTGCTCATTTTAACCTTTCAGAAACTTGGAGTTCCTCTCTACCAAAGTGCACGCACTTCTAGAATGCTCTTTCATTTTCCTGACAAATTTTGCTATCCTTGCTGATAAACCCTGCATAGTTTTTTTTCAATAAACCAAACATCTTGAGAGAGTGAGCAATGCAAGAAACCCTGTATTCTAAATTCCTTGAGAGAGTGAGCAATGCAAGAAACCAAGAATCTTGATTTGTTTTTTATGTTCACCTTTAGGTTTTGATTATGCTTTATGTATTTTGTGGTTTTCTTCGGAGGGATATCTTATCCTTTGCTCTTGGGTTTTTCTCTTTCTATTCTCTAATATTTTTTTTCTTCTTTACAATCAAATAAAATGAAAGAGAAATTATTTTAATGCTAATAAGCATCATATAATGCTTGATTCAGTTTGCAAAACCTTTACGGTGCTTGATTAGTCTAACGTTTGTTCATTCTATTTGAAGTAGTGATCATGTAGGGTGACTTTCTTAAGAGAGAAAGAAACTATCTCAATAGTTACACACTTTTCTGCGAGTAATGTAAAAGTATCTACCCTTTATTTTGAAAAATTACACTCATCACCAGATGAATCAGCACGTCATACTTTGTCTAATTTAATTCAAACAGGCCTTTCAGGGGCAGTTTCTCTCCAAGACTCTTAATATCATCAGCAGCTAGTTTTGAATCCCTACTATCAACTTTGTGGGTTTAAAAAGATGATATGGAAATTTTAGATGAAGTTACGAAACCAGTATTAAGAGTGATCAAATGTTTGAATCAGAATTTTATTTTATTTTCGAAAAGAGTCCCAAAGTTGATTGTATTAGTAGGTGTTTAAAAAGTTAGCTGTTGGTGAAGAGTTGTGTGGAGAGAAAGAAATTCTTGGGAAGCTTGTTCATTTGCTTATTACAATAACATTTTCATTTACATCGAGTGAAATCAAGTTTATAAAATTTCAACTCTCAAGAGAGGGAAATGTAACATACCCCTTTTTCATATATGGTGTGAAGTTTGATTTCCTGGACTACTAGTTGTATTCTTACAAGTGTGCTTCTCTATTTATCTATTTGTGTTTGCAGACTACTACAAAAAAGAAAATTACTTCTGCATTTTCATTTCCTGTGCAACTTGATATGCGGCATAGACTGTATGAGTTGTCTCAGTTTGATTTGGTATATGACTTGTCAGCTGTACTGATTCACAAGGGAACCGGTGTTAATAGTGGCCATTACATCGCTCACATCAAGGACAAAAATACGGGGCAATGGTGGGAATTTGATGATGAACATGTTACTAATTTGGGTAACCATCCATTTGGCGAAGGATCTTCTAGTTCTACTACTAAATCCATTGCAACTGATGCAACTCACTCAGACTGCTCCGAAGCAAGGATAGCTGAAAGTAATGAAAACGGTTTAAACGCCGCTCATTCACAATCTTCACTTATAGAGACATTTTCTTCTTGTGATGCTTACATGTTGATGTACCATCTTAACAATACAAAAAGTATAAGTGAAAACGGGGGTATAGTTTGTGGCGCTAGCCATAGAGAAATAGGGGGTGTTGTAGCTAGTGAACAAGATGGTGTTTGTCTTCCTTCTCATCTTTTTGATGAAATTCAAAATTTAAATGCCTCATATCTTGATGCTTGTCAAAAATACAGTCATGGGAAAGAATTAGAATTGAATCGTATTACTGAAAGGAGACAAGAAGTTCGATCTGTGTTAGCTGAAGCTCCTGTTCCACCATTAGAGCGACCATTTTATTGGATTTCTAGTGACTGGCTTCGCCAGTGGGCTGACAACATTATTCCAACGTTAGTGCATATTTTTGTATAATATTATATTAGTAACGAACACTTCAATGTTTTTTAAGTAACGTGTGACTAGATAATTTCCTTGTCGTAACTTGAGGGTTCCTTTTTGTCAATTATTTGTCTAAGGTGAATTGATGTTGTTTATAAGTTTTTTACTTTGCAATGTATATGCAGTTCTATTGACAACACAGTCATCCAATGTTTACATGGGAAAGTCCCAGTTTCAAAGGTTACCTCAATAAAGCGACTGTCTGCTAAAGCATGGGATAAGTTGTTTTCCAAGGTCACTTTTGTTTGTTTGCTTTAATTAATATGTTTGGATTATTAATTGTCTTCTTGTATTATGTCTCTCATTGTTTTTGGATTTCTATTAATGTATTTATACTAAACGATTTTAACTAAAGTTAGTGCAAGTTATCATGACAATGCATTTATCTTTCAGCATATTTTTACATATTTTGTTAGACAATACTGATAGGAAAGATGAAGCAAAAAGTTATCAGGTGGAGCTGTTTCAAACCTAATGCTCTATAGGTGAAAGTACTTCAGAAATTGAGGGAGTAATTTGTTTTAATCATGAAGAACTGCCTGTTTCTTCGTGGTGTTTGTCATTAAGAAAGTTTGAGTCATATGGGAGCCTGATCTAAGAGAATTTGTCTTTGTGAAGTATTTGGATAAAGTGTTTTGTTTCTGTTAGAAGAATGCAGTGCACTAGTCTGAATGAATCAGGATCTAACAAAAAGGATAGGGAATTCATGCTCTTCTAAGAGATTTAAACATTATTGTTTTTTTATGGATTATTTTATTTGTATATCTCCTCCACATTCATGATTCTCTATTGCTACTTCATGTATTCAATTTTCCTGACACACTATTCATGACATGTTGCCTTTGTTGGGTTGCAAAATTCAGTATGGTGGGATGCCAACACTGTCTCATGATGATCATTGTTGGGATTGTCTGATAAACGGGGCTCAGACAGTGGTATCAGCTGACACCTATCGGGGTAGAAGAGAATCATTGAAGTCACTTGCACGGGATGTTCTTGATGGGAACTGTCCAGATGGAAAGTATTTCATATCCAGACCATGGTATGACAACAAATCTTCTCTCACGGCCTTCATGCTTCCAATGATAAGGAACGGGACAAGTGTTCTATTTCTTGTATCGGGGAACAGTTAAATATCTTGACCAACTGACCCGGTTATAAATAATTCTGCAACCTGTTCTGATTAGCTTCAATTTCCTTCCTTTTTATACTGTCACTATACCGATGAGTATATTTTTAGTATTTGTTTTGCTGATGAGGAAATTTTTGAAGGTTGCAGCAGTGGTGGAAAAGAAAAGTCCTTGATGCTCCATCTGAAGCTGATGCTGGACTAACAGCAGCAATCAGTTGTCCACATGGTCTATTGATGCCTGAGCAAGCTCCTGGTGCTAAGCGGGTGCTTATTCCTGAGACTTTTTGGCTCTTCTTATATGAAGATGCTATTTCTGTAAAACCTGATGATGCTTTAGGTGGCCCAATTCTTCCTTCAGGTTCTATAGAGTGTTCCCAGTGCATTAATGAATTATCTGAAGCGGCATGCTTGGAGGATTCTTTGAGGTTATTTCATTTGTAATTGCCATTAATATAGAGCTAATATAGAGTATAGACACTTTTAAGGCGATTTCTGTATTTGTGTTGCAGATCAGTTAAACAAAAGCAGCGCCAGAATCATGAGAAGTTATTCCATGCTAAAAGTATGCCTCTCTCTGCAGATTACAAATATTTCTTGCTGCCTTCTTCATGGATTTCAAAATGGAGAAATTACATCAGTCGAAAAAATCCAGATATACCTGAAACTTTAGACGGGGTAATTGATTCACTGATGTGTGAAAAGGTACATTTGTTACTTTACTCTGGCATTTGGTCTTGTTTTGCATTTTAGACGTTGCTACATGTTTAATTTGCTTTAGCTACTGCATAAATGATTGTGATTGCTGTTTGGCAAAACTAAAATGAAATTTTTGTATGCAACGGTTAGAAAAGGTATATCATGAAGAGGAAATCGGATGCAATTTTTTACCCATAGTATGGGGAGGCTGTATGATAGGATAAGCTTATCCTATTAACTTATTCTATCTATCTTACTCGTTAAAAAATAACCTGGAATTGAGGACTAGGTTAGAAATCATCATCATAAGATATATGTTCTTCTCCTCTCCCTCTTGTTTGTGACCCTCTCTTCCCTTTTCTCCCTCCCTTCATCAACAGCACCTGATGCCATCCACCATCAACTGCTTACAGCGCGCCAGACATCTCCACCACTGCCTAATACCCTCCACCACCGCGCATCCTTTATCATTGCCACCCCAACACCTTTTGCCACCACCACTGCCACTGAATATAAGGGTAGTGCTGTCATTTGAAAATAATGTATATCAATTCCTACCATTATCTGGTCCACCTCAAACATGAGATAGGATAACATGTTCAATCTGATGGATTATCTATTGGATAGGATAAGAATTTTATCAGGCTAATATCAGACACATATTATGATTAAACACAATTTTACATATACTACACTAAGGAAGCTATCCCAGCATTGTGAAATTCCTACTTAGAGTTAGTCCTGTCCAAACTACAAAATACACCCATTAGTGCCTCCCAACCCTCGACCTATGTAATGTATAATACATAACTGCTAGCTGACTGTTCTACTAAATTCAAGACATAATTGTTCTGCATAATTAAATACTTGACGGTTCTACATCAGAGTTCTACATCGATGCACCCCTACATCCAAATAAGTGGTTTATTGGATTTAAGTCCCATCAATATCCTATTCTACTTTAATTTCACTGTCTTTATCCTATTTTCACAAGACAAGCCTATCGCACATGTGTTAATGACTTACGTAGCAGAGCTCATTGATTAACTAAACATGATTGTATGTACATATTTAATATCTATATAGCATTTCGATTCTTTCTTTATAATTTAACCCCCAGCAAATTTTTATGATGAAATTTGTATCTGTTGTATCAGCACTCACAACTTGTTGAAAGACCTCCTCAACTGGTTTTCAGACGCGGTGCTATATTCCAGAGAGAATCCTCTGTAAGTCGGTTATGAAAAGAAAAGAAAAGAAAAAGAAATTGTTTTCTGTACTCATGATATGTATGTCAATGCAGGCAATGACATGCCAATTTCTCTATGGCAAACTAGTTCACCTGTTTTAGTATATGCTTAGGATCCCTAAAAGTTAAACGACTAAATTATGAATTCTTGATATCCATTTGCTCTTTCACTTTGTTTCTTCCTTCATTTTCACATGTTGATGGGTGTAGTTTTAGTTCTTTTATGTTAATTTGTTGCCTCTCAAATTTCCATTTCCCTTTTGTGGGTTACAGACAGGTGGCTTAACTATCATATCTGAGAATGATTGGATATCCTTTTGTGAAGAATGGGGTGGTACCAAGACCAAAGGGATATCTGCAACAATTGAGCACATTAATGATTCAGGGAACTTTTTGACTGGGTCCAGTGACAAGATGTTGATATGCGAAGATCAGTTACAGACAGGGGATAAAGTGAAAAATGAAAATGGAACTGGAAGTGAACAAATTTTGATCAAGACTTGTCCCAAGGTAATCCTAAACTCTGTTATGTTACTGGCCTCATACTACTCTGTTTTACACTTTTCTTTTAGTCCACAAGTCTTATAGTACTGCACTTAGTTTTGACAGCCGTGTCATTGGTTTTTCTGTTTTATATCCTCTTCATTTTCAGCACACGCACAGTACATAATTTGGTTCTATGGTGAATGTTGCTTAATGAATGCATCACATTTTGAAAAAGGTGATTCTCAGTCTGGATCTAACTTGACTGACAAATTATTGATCTTGGGTGAATAATGTAGTTATGTATTGAAGTTTGAAAGCTGTCTGTTTTTTATTCACCTGACTAAATATTACGATCTTCTCAACTTTCATCGATTGGATTGTATATATCAACTTTCATTTCAACTATTATTTATTTTTCTTTCAATGTCCAGGTTTGTGAAAGTTGCATCGGAGAAAAAGAAAGCTGTGAATTAATGCATAAACTTAACTATTGCAATGAGGAAATATGTGTAATTCTTGTACGTGGTAAGGAGGTACCTAAATCAATCTTGGAGGCCTCAAAGGGATTAACTGAAACAGACCGGCGGGTTTCTAAGCGCTCTCGGAAGACTAAAAATGGGAATTCAGCTAGTCTAAAAGTTTCTGCTTCAACATCACTATACCAGTTGAAGATGATGATATGGGAATCTTTTGGGGTAAGTAAACTCTATGTTGTATGCATATGCCTCAGTTCATTTTAATTGTCTTCTCAAGCACGTAATTAAAATGACCAAGCTCTTTAAGACTTTCAGCTTATATGCATATTATTACGAACATTGGAAAAATTGTAATAAAAACATTAGAAAAATATTATTATCTTCACAGGTTATATTAGTATACACAAGAATTGACACTTCGTAGGTGTTTACTTTCACTTTTATCAGATAAATTTTGTTGTTATTGATGATAGCCAGTCAAGTAAAATTTTTTGAGTTAGAGTACAAAGCATCATAATGTCTAAATTTCTTTTCACGAATCTTATCAATGATAGTTGTGCTCCCAGGTTGTCAAGGAAAACCAGATACTACATAAAGGTGATAGGATAATTGATATTGACGATGAGAGTGCTACCCTTGCAGATGCAAATATATTTGCCGGAGATCAAATTATAGTGAGGGATTCTGAGATCCATGAGAATCGAGATATTGCTGGTAAGCTATTTCATAGAATCATAATGGTGATAGAATCACTTTATGTTATAGCCAGAGATGTTATGAAGTACATGTAATCTTTTATATTCCCTCAAGTAAATACTGAGATACAGAAGGTCAGAAACGAATTGTTTTCATCTTTTGCAGATGAGCTCTGCAGTGATAAGATGGATCTCCAGCATACCGAGGAAGGTTTTCGCGGAACACTTCTTACAGCAAACATTTCATCCCAGGTTGTTTAAGAAATGTGCTTTCAATAGGCTATATATTTCTGATATCTTTTTGCTGGTGTATATACATATATAAAGAAAAATCAGTTGAGTGAAGAAAAAAATAGTTCTGTACATTACAACCATGTAAATCAATATCAATATGTCTGGTGCTGTCTTACTGTTGAGCACCACTTGTTCTCCTAAAGCCTAGAAAAAGGCAAATTTTGGAATGTATTTTGATACTTAAATACTAGTGAAACACACTTTTAGGTGCTCGAATATGGTTTTTAAAAGAGTAGTTAAATACAAGAATGAGTGGGATAAAGGCTTGAAAACAAGCAGAGAAAAATTGGAACTGTGTTCTACATGATATATATGTACTATGAAGGGAACATTGTGAAGAAAAAATTAATATTTTTTGCTTGATTTTTTTATAAGCAACTTTTTGTTGAGAATATTTATGTTAGTATTATTTTGCCATTGTCATGTTTAAGCCATTTTAGAAAACAGCTATAACTTTAAAGTTAGATCAGTTAAATTTATGTCAGAGTCCGGTACGGACGCAGCTGTAAAACTTATATATAAGAAAAAAAGTTGAAGATGACATGATAATGATTGTATAAATAATTTTCAATACTCACTGGAATTTAGTTTCCACTAATTTAGATAAATTGGATATAATATTTGGAAGACTTTGACATGAATTGTAGAATAAAATATCGATCAATAAAGATATTTTATTGAAGGTAAAATATATTTTTTTTGTCCTTTAACTTTATCTCGAAATTTATTTTGGTCTCTTAATTTTTAAAAGTTATTTTGGTCTCTTAATTTTTAAAATGTTCAAATTGATCCTTAAGTATTAAAAACGAAACCATGTCTGTCCTTCTATTTCTTTCAAATGGACGTTTGTGAATGACGATGTGGCAGATGACAGGACCATTCTTCTTCATTTCCTTCCTTATTTCACCACCTTTTTCATTTTTCTTCCTTGTTTCACCACCAAGTCAGATTTGTTTCAATTTTTATTTTAATTAATTGTTATAATAATTTTAAATGAAATAAACATTTATGCATTTAATTAAATGATTTGGAATTCATAGAAAAAGAAATTCAAGAACACGAAAAATAGTACTTCTTCCTCCTTCTTACTTACAACTAGATTTGAACTTCCTCTTTCTTACTTACAACTCAAACAAACCCTAGAACAGAAACAATACTTCTTCCTCTTTTTTACCCATGAAGAACGGTAGCAATAGATTAATTTATTCCATAATGCATTACATCAGTTTATTAATGTTACTTCTTTGCAAATACTCCCCCTAGAATTCATCTTTCAATAATCCTCCTTTATAAATACATTTTCAAATCTCTCTTTAACGCTCCATTCTTCTTCCCTCACAGACTTCCAACCCTAACCCCTAATTTCCAATTCACACCCAAACGGCCACCGTCACAATAATCACAAATTCAAGTGAAATCTCTGCTCATAATGGTAGTTTTGATGTGAGTATCAACTCAATAGTACCTTGATTACACCACATGCCGCCAATTTAATGACATGTATTTTCTTGGATTTGGGGTTAATTTTATTATACATGATAATCTGTTAGTTGGTAAACGATTTTATATACATTACAAAGTTTTTAGTTCTGACCCTATGTGTTGGGGTATGCTGGATGATAAACTAAACCAAATTAAAACATATATATAGTTTAATCTGGATCTAGAAACTGTTTCTCTAAAATCCGTTTATTTTTTTAAAACTGATTTACAAATGGGTTGGTTCAATTCTAAATCAAAATTTCACAATAATCAGTATTTGTATTTAGGAAAAAAAAAACGGTTTAAAACCAATTTCTCTAAAAACCAATTTTTTACTTTCTTTAAACGCGTATCAATTGCTCAGCTGGAGGAACTTGTAATGGCTTGCTCAGTATTTGAATCAACCATATTTTCAATGGTTTTTATTCAATACTGCTTCTACATTTTACTATTACTTTTAAGAAATCTTCTCAGACTTTGATGTCATGGGGCTGATTCACTTTTTCATATAGGACGTAACATGGAACATATTTGTTATTCGCTTCACTCATAAATTCTCTATTACTGATGCTTCTAAAATTAATAATTATAATAAATTCAAACACAGTAACTATATAATATATTCAAAATTAATGACTAATGCACATTGAATTATATTAACTGAAATATAGATATTACAACTTCTAAAAAAATCTTAATAAACTGGCCTACATACATCATTTGTTTCTAGCAAGGCATTGTTTGAATATCAGTCCCACGCAAACGAAAAGTGTTTGAGTAGAAAATAAAACAAGGATTTGATCCACAACTTTGTGAAATTTAATTATCTAAGCAACATATACATAGATAGCGTAGTATAATAAAATTGAAAAAAATAAAATTTGTGTGTCGTTCATTCTCTTTTACCAAAAAAAAAAACAGTAATAATAAGCATATTTAAATTGAGTAACTTGAATAAATGCTTTTAATACTAAACATTTATTTAAAGTAATTATATAACTAATTATAAAACCAATTTATGTCAATTTGCAATTTTTTTTCATTTAAAAAAAATCTAATTTTTTAAAAAAATAATATTCTTTTATGAAATTAATTTTTTTTTAATAAGTTTAAAATATGAAATTAGTTTATAATGCGATCTTACCGGCTGACCAGAATCTGAAGTGGCCCGGAGACTTCGCCTGCGATGCTGGGTTTCAAAGATGAGGAGGGTTTTCTCGTGTGGGTTTGAGGGATTGCTATGAGCGTCTCCTCGCTCTGTTGCTGTGCCGTTTGAGTAAGAGCTTAGGTCGGGGATGTTGTCCTCGGGCCTTCGCGCGCCCTTTCGCGGTGGAAGGGTGGATTTGACTCTGTCATCGAATTCACTTTAGTCCTCTGCTTTTCCGGTAAAGGAGATGTCTCGCAGTTCTGAGGATGAAGTTATGAAGGAATTATCCGAGAAGAGCTCTTTGGAGGATAACAGCGCTGATGAAACTTTCGCTCCCCGGAATGCTGGCGAAACATCCGCTCTTAGTAGTTCCGGGGGAGAGTGGGTTGTTGCTGAGCCTCAGGAGCATTCCTCCCTCTTTGCTTCTCACACTTAGGATGCCTTCACGACGGTGGGGGTCGAGAGAGACTAGAGGGTCCACTTCCCTGGGGTGAACGACCGAATATGCTCGACCTACGGGGAGAGATTCCCCATGTACGAGTTTGTCTTCAACAAGATCGGGTTGAGACTGCCCTTCACGGACTTTCAAGTGGTAGTTTTAGGACACCTAGATTTGGCGCCCTCCCAGCTGCACCCGAACTTGATTGCCTTCATTCGGGCATTTGAGATTACTTGTGAATTTCTGAAGATTAGAGCTACTCTCCCCCTCTTCTTCACCGTCTTCCACCTCTAACGCCAGGTTGTTGGGAGGTAGTTCGGTTGGGTTTCCCTGAAGCAGGGGAGATTTATTCAAGCCTTTCTCCAAGTCCATCAGGACGTTTAAGGAGAAATTTTACATAGTTGAGCCCGTGTCGGCGAGGGCCAAAGACTCCTCATTCGTCTGGGAGTTTTCGACAGACGAGAGCTGTGAGCCCCTCATCGACGAGCAGGGCAAGATAAAGGGGCAGAGGTTGCTGAAGTTCCCCTTCTATTGGAGCGGTGACCATTTTACCGGTGGGACCCATGATTACCTTGCCAATCCGCACATGCTGGAGAAGGGTGGTCGGGCCATCTACGACAGGCTTGTGACCTTTGTTGATGGTTTCCTCCCTGCTCAGTGCGTGACGAGGAGCGGGGACATTATTTATGAAGAAGACAGGGCCCTAAGGTGGAGACCCGGTACATTAATATGAAGGAGCTCCTCGAGTGTGGCACTCGTGAGAAGGCTCTAGAACTTATGGGTCGCCATTTATTTCTTAGCTTATTCGTATTGTTATTTTCCTTGTTTACTAACGTGTGCCCGTTATTTTGTAGGCAAAATGTGCACGGCCTAGGAGCACATGGTGAAGAGTGTCCAAGCAAAGCTCAAGATGGGCAAGAAGATCAAGAGAAGCCACTTGGCCGAGCAAGTGGTTCCGCCCCCGAGGGGGTCGGGGACCTCATCCTCAAAATTCACAGCCACCCAGACCTCCCCGCTACAGGTAACCTTGAAGCCCAAACACCCCCGAGCGGACGAGGTCCTCGACCTTACTTATGAGGGGGAGAAGAGTAAATTTGAACTGCCTCATTACTTTCACAACAGGAGTTTCTTCGAAGGCTCCTCCCTTGCACTCTTTTGGATGGAGTCCTTGAAGCTCGAAGAGCTGGACCGTCCGAGCAAGAGGATGATACTGGCCCAGGACACTGTTTCCCTGATGAGTGTCTTGGGTATGACGGTGGTTTACACCGAGGAGGGGGCTCTCCAAGAAGCGGAGCTGAAGAAGGTACATGCCAGAAACACGATTTTGAAGGAAAAGCTGAAGGCTGCGGAGGCGGCGACGAAGAGGTCCAGAGAGGAACTGGGCAAGGCCAGCGAAGAGGCGACAAAGAAGTATAAGGGTGAGCTGGCGAAGGTCACCGAGGAAAGGGATACCCTGGCTGCAGAGAAAAAAGTCGCAGAGGACTTGGTCAGTTCATTGAGGGCTGCTGCTGCTGAGGATGAAAGCGATAAGGTGAAGAGTCTGAAGACTCGAGCCGAGCTTATTGCCCGTATCAGCCAGGCTGAGGAGGATTGCGTAGGGGTCACCGAAGAGGCTTTCAACAATATTTTGGCGCAGCTGAGGATTGCGAACCACGGGGTCAAGCTGTCTACCGAGGGGACCGGGTTCCTCTATAGTGTGTTAGGCGGCCATATCATCATCCCAGATTTCCTTAGATTCGGCGAGGAGCATGAGCGGCCTATCTGCGAGGAGCCTTAACCAATGGCCGACTGATTTTCTCTTTGTTGTGCTTCTGGCCTGCGTGCCATATCTTTGTATTTTTATCTTTCTGAATGGGGCTTAGCCCCTTTTTATTGTAACCGGCGCAATTGCAGTCCTTG